TATTTCAACGTGTTGCTGTGTTAGCACGTAGAAGCAAATAGAGAAAAATATATTGTCGAATACCAATGATAACGAGTTTTGTTGAACATATAGATTAAAAAATCGCAAAAACTAAAATTTGAACCTGGATAATGTAAGCAAGAGAAATTTTCATCATTTCATCTTCTTTGTATTTTTTTTTTTCCCCAGGAATTTCTTTATTACAAAATAGAATATATAAATGTTATGTATACATAATTTTTTTATTTCCTTTTATTGCCCAAGGGCATTTTAAGGTAAGAGGGCTATGCACTTTGTATGCGTACTTTGCATCTGTGGCCAGAGGCCTTTTAGATGCAAAGTATGCAACTCTGGATATTATTGATATAATTATTAAATATAAATGGAAAGGTGTCCTTGATCAGCACACTGTTCAGCGTTTGTTTGAAAAAATTAGCAGTAGAGATATGACGTTGGAAAAGAAGAAGGGCTCCAGGCGATTAATAGATATTAATGATGCTCTGCAGGAAGTTTTTTTTTTTTTCTTCCCTACCACGCCTTTAAGACTATACGGGATTTTCCTGGGCCGGAGGATGAGGGCAGGGAATTTAAAATCCCCTCCGGCGCCGGGATGCGAACTTTTTCAAATCTCTTATCCGGTTGCCAGGCAACTCGCGGTGCAGGGCACACGCTTTAGCCCATTCGGCCACTCCTCGTTCTGCAGGAAGCTGTAGAGTCAAATCCATCCACAAATACTCGTGAACTTGCCAGGGTGTGTGGTGTGTCAAAAGGTACTGTTAGTCGCCATCGATTCCCCATGGAGAAGATGGAAAAGATCAGTACACCCCACGAACTTATCCCTCAGCAATCAGCTAAGAGGTTAGAACTATGTGAAAATGTTTTGAAAAACTCTTCTAATATAAGACTTTACCGGAAGATTGTCACCTGTGATGAAATGTGGCTTTACTGGTGAAATCCGAATACCTATGAGCAATGGCTAGATCGGTAAAACTGCTTTTTTGGTTGCAGCAAGAGGCACACAAAAAAAACTCCATGCTTCGCGTCTTTTGTTATTTTAAAGGCGTTATTCATCACGAATTTGGTACTAATGGATGCTCTATGAATTCTGAACTCTACTGAAAACAACTAAAAATTTTCTATGCGAAGTTGTCAGAGCGTTATTCTGCTTTGATAAATCTTAAAGGAATTTTATGCCAAGGAATAGTGCTCGTCCTCACACTTTTCGTCTATCGGAAGAAAAGTTTAAAGAACTTAATGGATTCGAACTCTCATATAGTCCAGACCTCGTATCATCGGATTACTAATTATTTAAATCCGTAGTCCGATATCTCCAAGGAAATAAATTTGATAATTTTGCGGAAGTTGAAATTGCGGTCCAAGTGTTCTTTGACAGCCATCCCAAAGGAAGTATCACCTTGGGATCGAGCAATTGGCTAGCAGTTGGCTAATTTCGGTAGATAACAATGATCTTTACTTTGATTATTAATTGTATTTTATATTAAAGAAATAATAATACAAATATTTTTTTAATTAATTATTTTAATAATTAATAAGTTATTTTTTTTATACACCATGAAAGATTTGAATCATAAAAGTTCATCACATATATTAGTTATCATAAATCTATTGTATAATTTTTAGAGTATGACACAAATGACGATCAGTTAGAGCGAAGTTTACTAAAGTAATTTGTGTGCAATTCTAATTGTATATGCTGTGATTGTTTTTACTTTGTTAATATAAACAAAATTGGTTTATACACAAATATATTGCTAATCTTATTACTTTATACTTATTTGGTATATGGTACAAAAAAACTTTATACTTCATATTATTCATTTTGCATTTTTGATATTTTCAATGTTTTTTGTTTGCGATCTTATTTTATTTTATTTACACCCTACCCTGCCGATAAGGCAATACGGGTGTTATGCAGTAGTGAGTAGCACAACGCATGCGTTACAATTCACTGCTGCATTCAGACCAATTACATTTTTTTACAGCTGTGCACACAGCCTGCTCTTTTTTTTTTCTTTTTATCCAGCATCCTCTTCCGCCCTCTCTGGCGGTCTTCCGTATACAAGTTCATTTCTTCTTCCCAATGAAAAGTGGTTTGACCCAACCAGTTCCTTCCACCCGTATACGAATGCCTTGTAATACGGGTATTTTTCTTTTGTCATAAGTTGAGGGAGATCGCTCTCCGTCAGAGCGTAGAGCCCCGTCTCCCTCAACAACTTAGCCCTAAGTGCCTCAAAGGCGGTACAGACTAGGATGATTTGCTCGGCGGTCTCCGGCACTCTGCAACTTGGGCATAGGGGATCGATGTTCTTGCCATATTCAACGAGCTTTGCTCGGAAACCCCCATGCCCTGTGAGGAACTGTGAGACCCAGTAGTCCGGGAGAACCCATGTCTGTTCCATTCTTGAACCAACGGTGGGGAAGTATTTTCATAGCGTAGCCCCTTTTGGCGTCGTCACCCACCGCTGGTTCCATTCCTTTAATGTGTTCTCCCGAAGAATCCTCTTCCATCCATTAGGGTCTTCACTGATCCTCACACGAAGATTCGCCGGTAGATCCAACAGGCCTTCCCTCTTCATCTTATGCCGGAAGTATTCTTAGTGTTCCGGCTAAGATTTGTACCACCTCTTGAGACACTGAACGGTACGCTCTAGTGACCCGCAGCAGAGGCATCCGCTGGATTCTTGCCAACCTTTTCTTCTGTTGGTGCGAGAGATGATGACTCCACGCAGGGGACGCATATCTCAGGATGCCCAGAATAACTCCTTTATAAATAGTCAACGTGGCTGGGTACCTGAGACCCCAAAAGGCGCCCCCGATGCGACTAAGTCCATTGAGAGCCATTTTGTTTGCGATCTAAAGCACACACCTTAGTTTTTTTTTAGAAAACAATAAACTTAAATAAAAATATTAAAATAAATTATATGAAAGGAAACATAGTTCCCATTATAATCATTGTTTCAATATTATCCTATTAATTAAATGAATTTACGAATGTATCATTGTAAAGGTATAAAATAATAAATAATAAAACAATTTAAAAATATTCTCAATCATCATGTATTAGAAAATAACCTGGCTATTAGGGTTCAGAAAATAGCTAAAACACTCAAAGGCTAAATCGTTTGCTGTCCGATAAAAGCCTTCAGTGTCCAATATCAGTAAAAAGGAATTGGCTCTTGAGGTTTCCTAGGGTCGCCTGGAATGTTTTCCACCCGCTGGACCGTATTTCTTTAGTTACCTGCTCTGGACTAACCGGTTCAGTGAAATACCAAAAGCGATTCTAATCCTAATCTGTTCTAAACTCTTACATAATTCAATTTGTTTTATCTTTTCTATTCAAGATTTCCCTTTAGTTTTAATAAATGGTACTGGGCACGTGTGGTTTTTGTTGTGTGATGTGGTTTATGGATGAGGTAGACTGTATGTAAATGAACTAGCTGACTGCAAGTTTGTGGAATTCCATATTGTACTAAAACATGAAAAATATTAGAGTGGGTGGATTAAGTTTAACTTCAAGGAATAATATTGTTAGTGTAATTTAGAATATCATTGATATTTGTTTCTTTTCATGGGGATGAAACGAAATTCATAACCTGGTTTGTGGTTGATTTGTGATATACAGATTATTTTCCATTTTCATCTGCCTTGTTTCATCCTTGTTCCAGTGGCTCTCTTGTATTTTACATCATTTTCTCAGGAAAAATACATAGAAAGAAAAACTTTCAAGTTTCCGCTGAACCATCAACCGTGGATCTGATTTTTCCTGTTCAATTAATAATGGATGAAAATAATCCCACTTTCACTCCAATGATAGCAAAATCCTCGGCTCTTCTAAAATGAATAGTGAATTTTTAATAATTGCATTATCAATATGTTCAGAACTTGACTGAACAATATTCCAACAACAACGGACTGAACAATATCCTTATTTTATACATACATTTTTTTTTACTAAACAATGTTTGTGCATTATAATGTTGTTACAGACTGAAACAAGAAACCACTCGACGTTTCCGATTACTTCAGCACTTACTAGAAAAATTCTTTAAACTTTCACTTAATTACAAAAGACTCATACACATGAATATAATAAGGCCTATTTGGACTTACGGAGTTGAGTTATGTAGCTCCACTAAACCATCGAATTCCTCTCGTATCCAATCCTTACAACCCGAAATCCTCAATGCACCCTGCTTTGTTACAAATAAAACCATCCATAATGACCTTAATGTTTCTTATGTTTCAGATCTGGCCCAATCCAGATACCTATCATTCCATAATAAACTCCAGAATCATCCCAATGCTCTCGTTTCTAACCTCGCTTCCTCTTCGATTCCTGATAACCCTCCGAGGCCTCTGAAAAGTAGATGGCCCCGTGATCTCCTAATGTATCATTAGAGTGCTATCATTGATTAGTTATACAACAAGTGTTTTCATGTCATTATATCCATATGTTCAAATTTACTAAATGCATTTCTTTAATACAGTTGTATATATCATTAAGAAATAATAAAAAAGAAAATTCTATGCTTGCTGGCGTCTCCACTTAACTACTTTAACACCAAATATCTTTCATAAAATTACATGATATAAATGCAGGTCTTTTATTATTTTTAAGTCTATTTTTGAATGTCTAGTATTTTTGATCAATTGCAATATTGATTTAGTTTCGGTATATATAATAACTATGTTCTATCTAATTTATAACTCACAAAACCCTTAAGAAGTAAACACCTAAAACTATATTAGGTTTCCGTTTCTCGGTGCAATGAGAAACAAAATTAAAAAAAAATCATTTGAGCCATTTCCTTATGGAAATTATCAGAAGTGAAACAGTCAGGCAAGAATTTATAATATTTTATTTTTAAGATTACTCCTTTAATCAGAAAACATATTTCGGCTTTCAAATGATTCTGAAACATCAAAATTTTATCGGTAACTGAGATGAGTCAAGGAATAAATATTTGAATAGCACTGACCTGATGCCTCCCCTGGTTGTGTCGTAGTTGAGTACAGTTGAGTTGTGCCTCCAGAGGATGAACTGAGTCGGCTGAGGCACCCTCACAATAAGGCACCGCAGCTCGATTGTGCTTCCTGAGTTGTAGAACTTGTTCCTGATTGGGATATCCCGTTCGTCCTTTATGTGCATTAGTGGAACTAAAAAAAAAAATTGAATCACATAAATGTTTTTTTAAATGTAGGAGAAAACAATTATTGGTCTATCTGTCTCTCACAATCCCAGAAAAATACATCATAGAGTATATTGTATTGTATTATAACTTATATCGTATATATTATTGACTCATCAAAAATGGTATCCATAAGTCAGTATCATAATCGTCCTTTTTCAGGATAATATAGGCTATTATTCCTTCTTAAAGTTCTTCAGTACTCTTGCTCAATCTCCACTGGGTTTAGCCCCAGTGACGCGGTTGAGAGAGAAGTGCAGGTATCTCCTGGAGTCATGCTTTTCCCTCCACAGTTGGAGGGACAAGTCTCTCGCCAGATTGTAAATATTGCATATAGGTATGTATGCGTTCTGTTTATTTATTTATTTTTAGTTCATTTTGTTCATATTTATTGTGTATATATTATTTTTCTGTATAATTTTATTTTATGTATTGCACATAGAGTGTGAATGTGAACACTATTATAAATGCCCTTTGTGAGAGAATGTAATATTTTTCTATAAATAAAAAAAAAAAAAAGTTCTTCAGTAAATGATCTTTCTAAATTCAAGGTATATTATATATATATATATATATATATATATATATATTTTTTTTTTTTTTTTTGTCCTCCCCTTCCATGCCTTTAATACGGGGGTTTTCCCGGGCCAGGGAGTGTGGGCGGGGATTTAAAAACTCCTTTCGGGCACAGGGACGCGAACTCGGGACTATTTTTTTTTTTACCAAAGTCTTATGTATCAGGTTGCCGGGCAACGGCGGTGCAGTGAACACGCGTTAGCCCATTCGGCCACCCCGCCCCTAAGGTATATTATATCAATAAAATATCTGTTCAGAGGCACGCAGTACACAATTATCATATTGTTTAGGGTTGATCACCCTAAAGTGATTTTAAATCTCCCCCCCCCCCTTCATGAGGTACATGTAAATCATTATCATCATGTAAATCAAGCCTGCACAAAACTATTAGTACTGAAGGAAAAAAAATGGGCGACTGACAGGAGAAGAAGATGAATACTCTAACCTCTTCAAGACTACCTTTCATATTCTGTTCTACCATGGGAAGAGGCATGGAGTAGAACACACACTGAGACTTACCGGACCCATGGAGGTGAGGAAGTATAGCAGCCGGCCGACCACCGATACCGACCACCGTAACTCAGCCACATCAAGTAAAATATTGTAAACCTTTATGCATCAAACCCCCATCTCTATACAATGTTCATTATAATTATTTAATTTCAATACAGTCCACTTAGTTCATTTCAAAGACTCAATCATCTGTACCATATCCTGTTATGTCCTGTTAAACTATTGGGTTGGCAAATAAATCCTTTCGGTTTTTTTGTTTATTTTTATGTCACTATGATACACTTCTTACCCGATAAATTAATCCCTAAGGTGGGTTGTTTATCCTATTTGTAATATGTCAACAACTATATCTGTTAACTCTTGTTGGAACTAGCTTAGATTGTGTTTGCTACTCCACTGTTAATATAGAAGAAAATATCATTCGTTTTCGGCAAATTTTGATGTATTATTTTTAAGAAGGTAAGCGTGCTGCAGAATTTCATCAGATTACAGAAACATTTGCAGTAATTATGGAGATGATACCTAAACCGAACGTACCTGTCAAAATTGGTTTGCCAATCTTCATTCAGGAAATTTTGACATCAATGATGCCCAACGGTCTGATCGCCCACATGAAATTGAAACGAGAAATTTAAGGCCATTTCTGATCAAAATCTCACTGAATCAGCGCGAGAGATTGATATGGCCCTAAATGTGTCGCACATTAGCGTAGAAAACCATTTGCACAAGTTCGGCTATGTTTCCAAGCTTAATGTTTGGGTCCCTCAGATGATTTTATATTCCAATTACAAAAAATGTTATTACTTCAACACGACTTTAGCTAACTACAAGAAAATTCGCAGGAATTAAACTACACAAAATTACATCAACAGGACCTTTGTAAACATAGTACAAATTAAGCACGCGTCACGTTTGATCTATCGTCAAAATTGTCGTCGATTTCTTATAGAGAAGTAAAAAAAAAAAAAGTAAAATATTTACTTTTTGGCTATTTCAGACCTCACTTTGGCCTAAGTGACTATTAGAAAAAATATATTATTAATCCAATCTAAAAGTAAGGTCTCTTATTTTTACACAATATAAAGACAAAATGAGTCGAGTAAGGAGGATATTAGGAAAGGAGGAAAAACTTGAGCAATCTCTAACGAAAAAAATAATATCTCGCTCTGTACACTTCTTAGGTATGTTGTTGAAAGCACAGGTTTAATATATATAGAGGGGGTTTCATGCTTTGTCCATATCCATTTACAAACTCTTTCTCTTCTTAGTAGGACTTAAATCCAATTTCAGTGGAAAGAAATATTTTCAGTTAAGAATTCTGGTAGAAAATCTATTATGTGGTATAAAGTGTTATATCCAAAAACAATTGATAAAATCAGAGATTATAATATTCTTTTTCAAAACTTATTTAATGAAATATATTCCAATCTATCTCAATTAAGAACATTTATAGTACTCTAACAGCACATTCACATCGTACTTACAAACGTATAAATAAATAAAGTAGTAACAATATAATACCCAGAATTAATGCACTATATATATATATATTATAAAAAATGAGGAAATGAAGTTAAATGTATTTGAAAAAGTAAAATAAATATCTGAGACACAGGCATAGTTATCATCACTATTTACAACCAGCCTGGGAAACTCCGAATTTGTCCCTTCACTTTTAGAGGACAAATTCAGGCTCCAAGAGATCCCAGGGCTCCTTCCTCGACCACTTCACTGATATCAAAAGCCAGTGGAGGTCAAAAAAGAGCGCTACAGCATCAGACACTCGTGACTTGAGTGGAGAATCTGTGTATTGCCAGCCAGCACTCCAATTGTTCAGAGAACTTTAGACTGGAAGCCTTTGATGTTAGTAAATTTAGCTGTCCCCCACACTCCTAGTCCGTAACTCCAGGCAGGTTTCAGGATTGTCTTGTACTTCAGCAATTTTTTTTTCAGTAGAAAGTTTAGATTTTCTATTCAGTAGTCTATATAGCTGGCCATGTCGTCGATTAAGTTTCTGACTATTAAGCCTACTATGTGGATACACGTTATTCGTATATCTAAAAGAAAGCCAAATTGTGTCTGAGAGGAAGCTAAATAGGTTTAAAATAAACTGGTGGGCATGATTTATGACAAAGGGTCAAGATAATGTGTATGCTTTTGGATTCATTACTTAATGCGGCATTTCTTACACCATTGTTTAATCAGGTAGAGGTAGATATAATAAATATTCGTTAAAATAATATTTGGAGTAAGGCTCTGCTCAAAATTATAATAATTAAAAGCATTTTATAATGAGATTTAACACACTATGAATTTTTTATGTAACATCAGATGTCTGTCTCTTGAATCTTCTTGAATAGCTCAACAAAAGTTGATTTCGTTCTTTTCGTTAGTTCGATATTGTTAACCCTTTTAACCCTTGTAAATATATACTTGAAAAGTATTGTAAGTATCCTGAATAACCTAAAACGTTATTGACATTTAAAAAAGATATTGATTTCGTTACTCACGCACTCGAACACTAAGCAAGGCTCCGTAAATTTTAAATATGAGAAATTTTTTAAAAGTTTACATTTTTACTCTGCCCAATAGGATGGTTATCTCTAACATTATGAAAAATTAAATCATCATTTTACTCAGGACAAATTTATTTATTTATTTTATTTATAAATGTTTTGGGCTCTTCAACCACCTGGCTCATTTTCGCCCTATATTAGAATTGGATCAACTACGACATAGGCATAGATAACAAAACTACAGCTAGCAAGTACAATTTAAAGTTCAGAAAGTTAAAAATAGTTACAGTTTATTATGATGTTGCAATTGAATTAAAGTCATAACAATTGTAAGTTAAAGATTATAAGAAGATAAGTTAACAAAGGTATTTATAATAAGGTTAATGATTTTAAGAATAAAAGCTAAAAATGCGTTTTAAAAAATAAAAAAATATATAAAAAGTACAGAAGTTAGAGAAATTTTTAATTTAACAAAAAAGACGTCTTCCTGTGTATTCCTATAAATTTTAACACAACAAAACGTAGCATTTTTAATGTCATCCGTTTTGTGGGTATAAAACGTAACAGATGAAAACTTTTATTTAAGTTATTATATATACATGGATATAGAAATGGCTATAAATAATAAGACCTACAAATAATTGATAAAATAAGTGAGCTCGAATAAACTAAGTCATTTATTGCGTCTGATCTCTTCCGTGGGCACCTATCCTAATGCCGCTTTTCCGCCGATCAAGTGCATTTTCTATAGAACTCTTTCAAATATATAAAAAAATAATCAGTGATTTAGAAAGATAATTGTATTTTCCAGATGTTTAATTTCTAAGCGTTTTTCGTTATTGTTGGCCGTTTAATAACAAGTGACGCTTGATTTTCAACTTTAGTTTGAACGATTTGAAAAAAAATGACTTTATCGGTATTTTTTATTGCCAAAACCAATTATTATCTAATTTTTTTATGATTTTTTTATACTCTGACTATGCAGCTTTAACAAAAGACAAATTATGGCGAAAGGAATGACCAACTGCTGAATCGCAGTGACCGAAAATCTAACTCAAGTCAAAGTCGTCACTCAGCCATGTTTGGACGCCATTTTGGGACAGTCCGGCCACTTTTTTTTTGTAGGAACATTGCCTTTTTGGTTTATTATTTTCAATAACGAACCATTGTGATTACACAAAACATTCAAAAACTTAACCTCCTCTCAAAATTTGAGGTTTTACATAACAGGATACATAATCGAAAAACGAATAAAATTTTTTTTGTCTTTCCGCCGTCCGCGTATTTTCTCCGAAACTACTGGACCGATTTTTTTTTCAAATTTGTCTTTAATACTAGGGATCACCCGAGGATGATCCTTCTT